AAGTGTGGGAATGAGCTTTAAACCAAGAGAACTGTCAAAAATGGTGAAGCCATTGTTGTTTTGTGTGCGTCCCGTCATTTAAGTGCATGCACGAAAATTTGCAACTTTGTTAAAACAGTTAAGTGTCTTTCAACTACAAGGTAACAGACACTTGCAAAGCATGTGTCCTGACGATAAAGGAAATCCAGTCCATACACTGAAAAAAATCATTTTCTAATGACCAAACTGTGGATCAACATCTGTAACACTACATAAAAATGTGCCAGTAGTGACTGAGGAAATATCTAACACTTACCGTATGGAGGCATTTACTCACCCTCCTCTGTGTTGTAAATCGTGCTGTCAGCATTTTCTGCTGCCGTGGAAAGGCACCAGAAGCGGAGAGCGACGATCAGAAAGGCAAAGTTCCTCCGTCGTCTCCAGGCTCTCATGATGTCCGGGCTCGGTGGGTGAAACGGGGTGAAAGCGCCAGGCTGCGTTATTGATGCAGCGCGACCAGACCAGGTGCCAGGATGGCGATACAGGTCAAAGCAGTCCACAGCAGTGCGGGAGGACAAAAAGGCTCCACCACTAAGATGCGACAAGCTGTCAGAAACTTTTCTTCACTACACCAGACGCGTGGTGGACGCCTCGGGGAGAGACGCACAGATACATGTGTTAACTAACTGTTTTTGTGTAGAGGTGTTTCTCCTGTGGCCGGAGGATGGCAAAGGAGGGACAGAAAAGCCAAAATGGGAGGATGCTGGAGAGTAATGAAGCGGACTTGCCATCCCCTCTCGAACCGGAGCTGCCACACTTTGCCATGTGCGCTTCAGACGGCGTCAGGTCCTAACGCCAGACAAATACAAACCCAAACCCGGTCTTGGATTTATGTGTGTTGGGAAGACCAGATATCTACAGTATTCTTCAAATATAAATGCATACCAAGCAGCATCTCTAGTGTGCTGGAACCCAGGAATTTCCCCATTGTGGGATCAATAAAGTCCTACCTACCTACCATTAAGTAGTCTGCATATTATTATCCGAATACTCAAAAAGGCGGATGTTAAAAAGAAGCAAGCCACCCTTGTTACACCTGGGGCAGTGTAGGCCTGATTAGCTTTATCATGGGTGGAGCCAAGGGGGTGGCCACCCCTGGTGCCACCCCTGCCAAAGTCAAGGTGTCATGCTTGTCAATTTAAATGAATGAAAAATAAAAAACAATAATAAATTATTTATAAAATTGATGCAGTTATATGCCTATACATTTAGAACTATTAAAAAAACTATACATTGCAAAATTGCCATTGTATGCATATACAGTACTGCCACTCTGGTCTTTAGCAGGGGGGGATATGGGGAAGGCATTCTGCAGGTAATGTTAGTACACAGAGTCTGCACAAAACAAACATTTGTTTATATTTGATGGAAAGTAAAGAATTTGCTGAAGAAATTTTAGGAGTGTTTTGAGTGTAGTGCTAACATTTAGAAATACAAAATCTCAGAAAGAGAACAAAATATTAAAACATTGCCAGAAACAAGACTTTTCGGTTTAGTTTATCAGCTTATTTGGTTATTTGGTGGGGTGACAGTGGTGCGGTGGGTAGAGCAGTCATCTCCCAACTGGAAGGTAAAGGGTTCGAATCTCGGTGCCTGCAGTCCACATGTCGAAGTATCCTTGGGCAAGATGCTGAACCCCCCCAAGCTGCCTGTGATGGTGGTGCGTATGCACGCAGCAGCCCGGGGCCCTCAGCTCCAAACAAAATTTTGTTGTATGTGTCACATTGAAAATAAAGCTTCTTCTTATTTATGTACATTTTTCCTGTTTCTTCTTCTTCTCCTGAGACAGATTTGCATATAGCATTAAAAACATGATAGATGTAAGTGGAAGATTGTTTGTATCTACTGTGAGTTATTGTTACAGAGACATATACTTTACTGTATATGGCTAAATGTAAATGAATTTCATAAACATGGGGCCAGTCATATCAACCATTCTTTCCCTGCGGTGGATAAAGGTGTGCCGGTGTACTGTACCCCTGGATGTGGCTTCATGCTAAAACATGTATTTATTTATTTATTGAAGATATTACAAATTGCCAAACATAAAACTAAATAAGAAATTTGATCAGTCACTTCTTGTTACAGTCCTCCTTCTCTAGTGTGCTAAAATGTTGTGGTGTTTTTTGATCTAGTGGGTCCACAGTGGATTGAGATGATCAGCTTCTCTCCTAACTCTGATGATTGCAGTTTCAGAAACACAACCAAGTGAGACACACACACACACACACACACAGCTTTGAAAAGGGCAGGGCCCTAGGTGATTACTTAGTTTTGACTGTGGCATGGCTGAGGATTTAAATTGCTGGGAAATATAGTGTAAAACACTGATGAGTTATGTATAATGAATTCTAAATTGACATTTCAAAAATTGTTAGGCTTTTCACTAAGTTCTCACTAAAGGTTTTTGAGGGAGACATTTTTGAACCAATATTTGAACAAATTTTCACTAAGGCTGTGTTTTGACTAGTATGCATTTGTAAGGTTGACAATAAAAGCACTTCATTATTCAGCTTCAATATGGGCATTATATATTTTATAAACTATTCAGCAATCGAAATAGTCACCCCTTATTTTGAAATACCCCTGGAATGAAATCTTTTTCGCTATCTCTTTGTCCAGACACAAACACACATACATACCTACACATATGAAATGTCATTACCTTGGCCCCATCTGTGTTTTGTGTAGGCTACCAGGTCTGGTTCAGTCTAATCTTTTTTAGTGTGTGTATGCTACAGGCAACAAAAGTCACAGATGTCTCTGTGCAGGCGTCAGTTCACTCCACATCTCCACTGAGGCTAAAGCTGCAAAGAAAATGGAAAAAACACACATAGCTTTTCCTAAGCTGACTCTGATTTAGTTACAGTATGTCCATAAAATCCCAGTGTCACAGTATAACCGTGTTTTCATTTCCTTTCTGAATAGGTTTATTAAAATGTACACCCTCAAAACCACCTTTACTTTCTGCTGTTCACTCATAACTGCTGACTTAGGATGGCTGACTGACTTTTCTAGCTTGTAGCTCACCCTAGGTCTACAGTAAATATTATACTGTAGATTTTACTTGGGAACATTGTTTGTGTTGATGTTACAATCACAGTTTTTGAACACAGAGCCACTGCTAGAAAAATTATGATCAGGTAATATGAGCGCAAGTGAAATAGCTAATGACTAGGCACTTACAATGGCTCAGCTTGGATGTACAGAATTAGCCCACTAAGTTCAGCCTTCTTTCTAGCCTAACCCTAGGGACATTTGAGTCAGTTAGGGCTACTTAGTGAGCCAGACAAGAGCACATAGTACATCTTTTGCAAAGATAGCAATGTGACATACTGTAGAGACACACAATTCCTCAGAGAGAGAGGCTGAATGACAGGAGCCCTTCTCCTCATATACAACTGTCTGTCAGTCTGCTCTCATTGTCTGGAATCAGCCTACATGGCAGGAGAGCAGGTCTCCCATGTGGAATACTCTGGTTTGTTGGCAACATAGTGAAGCCGGTATAATCTAAACTTGGTTTCTATGTGTTGCCTGCTTTGTGACAATCTGGATGGCGTAACCTTGGAGTACATTGTGACTGGCCCACCACGTTCATACTAGAAGAGCAGTATAGTAGTAGTATAGTAGTAGTATAGTACAGTAGCAGAATAAAATTCAACATTTAACTTCATTTTCTTTGGGGTTTAAAACACTGTCTGTATAGACCCTATAGCAATCCACTCACCAAAAAACTACCTCAACAGCTTGTATTTATACAGTGTGTTTGCCTGAGACTTGCAGCACATGTCCTTCCTTTGCTCTTTCCTCATCCCAGCAGGTTCTGTTTAAATGCCACAGAGGTATCAGTTACTGTACCTTTATAGGCTATATGTGGACTATGGTCCAGTTCTGTGCTCAGGAGTCTTCTCTCTTATTACAATGTCATCTCTGGTTTGGAGCTGTGACAAAAGCCCTTTTCACAGGTGCTGTGTGTCTCTTGAGTTTGATTAGCTTGGAATTCCACTGTTCCGGATGGGAGGTTCCAGAAACCTTGAGGCCGACATGAAGCCAAACCCTACTCCTCCCCTCTTCCTCTTCATAAACACCTACAGTACTGTACCAGTGACGGAGTCAAGGTACTTTGCTCAAAGCTCTGAGACTCAATTTCCTGAAAAATGAAACTGCTTCAACACAGAATGTCCTTGGAAAACCTTTATTTCATTTTGAGATATTTGAGACGCATTAGAGGAAAATTATGCTATTCATAAGGAATCATATGGTATCATTGGGAAAGGATTGAGCAAAATTATATGACTGATCGGTATTGCTTTTACTCACTGGCTACTAATTTGAACAGAGAAGACAGATTACAGCTTCATTGCTTTAATATTGTAACTGTCAAATCTTTCTCTCTGAGTGTGTCTTTAGTAGTGTAAATGAGAAGCTCGGGCTTTGTCAGTGTCTGTGCACAAAAACATTTAACTTCATAATACAGGCCCTGGATGAAAAATACAATTTTAATGAGAATACTTTTACACTATGCAATAACTTTGATTAACAAAATTGTTCATTTTGTCATAATGCCTTACTAATCAGTAATAAACAAACATGTGGGTTGCTGGGTTATGAAAAATTTCTCTAGTTGGTGTTTAACCTCTAGAGTCCTGAGCTTTGGAAACCCACGCTGTGCGGTCCTCATATGAGGACGCAGGGACTCTAGAGGTTAATGCAGTAGTGAATGTTGGTAATCTACTTATAGATACTTATGAGGGTCACACTTTTAATAAGCCATCAAGTCTGCAGTTACTTAAATGGATATGAGTTCAGTTTTTTTCCAGAAGGTAAGCAATCAGTTAGAGGGCCGTTCTGAACAATTACAGAGCTAAACAGTAAATGATAGAGTCTATTAAGAATAAATAAAGCCATTAATCTGAACATATAAACCATTAGAAAGTGGACACAAAATAAACTGAAAATAATTTGTAATCACTTTACCATGCTTTAGTTTTCGTTGACATTGTAAGCAAAAGCTCTTGTTTGTTTCATTCTTTTGCAATGTAAAGCAATCAGGTTGCAAAGGGCAAAGATGAAAGAGGTCATTTAAGAAAAAGTCATTTAACAAACATGCATAGACTATTACAGTAACGGCACTGAATGCAAGGTCACTTTTAATATACTGTGCATGCAAGAAAGAGGAATAAGAGTGAATGGTCCCCATTTGTCTCAGTGTGCCTTTCTCATTTATCTTTGCAGGATCTGGTCGAGAAGTTTCTGCAAAACAAGAAAAACAATAGTAGTAGCCATGGCCCCCATCCCCCAGGATAAAAAAGTCCCTTCCATCAGTCTCTTAAGAGCAGCCCTGCATCACACAGGAGCAAATGGCTGCTAGGCTGGCTTTCATTTCCATCAACCTCACGCCATGAGGTGGTCAGGCAGAGTGACGGGGAATAATTTTAGCTTGCTGTCTGACCAGACACCCTACTATGCAATCACCCTCCTCTTACAGTACTGCCCAAGAGCAGGAATCTCATTTCAAGAAGGGTTCAAAACAAGCAAGGGCTCAAAATGAGACCTCTAAGACACTCATGACACAGAGTTAGTTGAGGAGGAACATATTTCTTTTCTTGTGGTCTCACTGTGGTTGAGCTCAGGTAATCGCTTCATTTGAGAGGTGTTAGGGTCACACTGGCATCATCACACTAGAACATTAGTGCCTGTTCCATATCCTCAGGAAATAAAATATTCTATTACAGGGCCAGTTGGTGTCATGTTATGCGCTATAACTGCTGTCTGTGTCAGTAAACTACACAGAGATAAATTATTGTAGATTTAGTGTTATATAAAAAATGAAAAACATATTGCAGGCCTGGGGCAAACAGTTTGCATAAGATAAATTTATCATGGTGTCCCAGTTTACTAAGCACTGGTAAATGAGAGTGAAACTATATATATACAGTATATATATATATATATAAATATATATATATATATACTGTATATGTAATAGTAGAATATGAAATGTGGTTGCTGCATTTTATTTTTGAAGGACTTTTTATTTACTTTTTCCAAAACTGCAGGAAAAGATGTTACATTAAGACAAAATAAGATGAGGATGATAGTGAGAGTGAGTGAACAAGAGAAATTATCACAAACTTCTGGAAGAAACCAGAAAAAAGGAAAAGGAGAGAGCTTAAGCACTGATTGCATATGAGGACATTTCAGATGGGGGTGGGGTTTATAATAACTAACTGCATCTCCTCTTGTTTTCTTTTTTTATACATAACTTTTTGAATGACCAGGCTCATTTCCCAAACTTTATTTTGTAGCTCCCTGTTTCTCTTGTCCTTCTGGAGAGCTGCCTACTCTTACTGTGTCACCTAACCTCTAAAGATAGACCTGCCCATCAAAATTTTATATTTTAATTTAATTTTAGCCCTTATTTCCCTCAAAATAAAAGTTCTGAGAAGTTGGAACTCTCTTGCCAGAGTCTTTGTGTTTCGTGTATGCATGTATATCTAGACTGTCCAGGAAATTCAGACCAAAGCTTTCCAATTTAATTGCACAGTGTCCAAGGTTATACAAAACTTGGCAAAACCTGTCGATCATAGGACAGCTGCACTGGTGGTCAGATACAGCTGTTTGATCTACAGGTAATTTGTACATTAATGGCTCTTTTTTTTTT